AAATTTAGGGGCTGTTCTTTTCGTATTTCAATTTTGTGTTTTTAGTTTTTAATTCATTTTGAGTTTTGTGTTTTGAGTATCCATTTTGAGATGATTAAAAACGTGTTCTTTTTGCCATTTTTAAAAATTATTTTGAAAATCCCAAAATCCCAAAATGCATTATCACTCGTCTCTCTCTTCTTCCCTCCTCTCCGTAACCTGCTAGAACCCCATCCTCAGCCACCATCTTCATCGCGGACCACCACCGGTCGACCGCCCACCTCCGGGCGACTCAAAACCAATCCTCAATTTAATCCAAACAACAATTAATTGAAATAAGGGTCGTGATCCCGTTTCACATAGTCCGAAGAAATCTGTGATTCCGGTGACGTCCGTTCAACCCATGGTTGCAGACCACATGTGTCACCTTCATCTCCCTCTGGTGCACCTAACTCAACCATGGGTCAAACCCAATTTCAACCACAGCTCGCTGATTTTATGGGTGAACTTAGGGTTGAAAACTAAAAATTTGTAGTGGTGGTGGCTGTTGTTGGTGATGATGATCGTGGTGGCACCGTGTGGTGGCGGTTTTTGTGGTGGCGAATGTGGTTGGTGATCTAGCGGTTGTGTGGTGGTGGTGGTGTATTGTGTGGTCGCGGTTTTTGTAGTGGTGGCTGTGGTGGATATGGCGACGGTGGTGTTGGTTGGGGTGACGTTGTGGCTGTGGTGGTGGTTCCGACGATGGTGGTGGTTGAGGTGATGTTGGGGGCGGCGACGGCAATGGTGTTTTGTAGGCGGCAATGGTGGTGGTTGGGGGTGATAGTAACTGAAAACAACGAAAATGCATTTTGAAAATTTTGGTCAAGTTATAACTGAAAATATCCAAAACGGCAAATTTTTCGTTTTTAGTTTTCTTTGTAAATTTTAAACTTGTTTTCAACAACGCGTTTTCGAAAATATGGAACAAAACTCATTTTTGCTGTTTTGAAAAATCAAAAACAAAAAACAGCTTGAAAATGACAAAAAGAACATACCCTTACTCTTTGAAAGCCCACAAAACAAAACCTTCCGACCAAAAACTTGTACAAGAAGGCATTACAAGTTATGGTGCATTAGTTTTTATAAAAGGACCTCTAATCCCAGTGGTACACTATTCTTTTAAGTTGTAAATTTTACCAGCAATTCAACAGCTTCTCCTTAGCGTAATTTAATGATTTAGGGAGTTTTTTTGCTTCTCCAACTCATTTGAAAGCATTGTAACAATTTATTTGATTGCTGTAATTTTTCCTATTAACCTACGTTTGTATAAATTATAAGACGATATAGGCAAGACCGAATCTGTTGTTTTTAATTCTTAAGTTTCTTATATTTTCTTATTGAATTGCAGAGAATAATTCGGTTGTTGTAAGAATTGTCTAAAATCTTAGTAAATCTCTTAACAAATGGGAGTCAAGAAGGGAGATTGAATAAGCTACTAGAATCCGTATGGACTTTTATTACCAATCTTGAATTTGAGGAAATTATTTCGAATTCAAGAAGTTCTGCTTACAGCACATATCATGTATTAATTAAGTCTCTGCACACGAAAACAAGAGGATCGAACGGACTCTTTTTCAAATTTGATAAATACTGGTTAATCATATATTTCATTATAGTTCTATGATTTAGAATATCATTTTCTATTTGATCCCTTTGAATTCCATATTCGAAGTTGCGATCGGATCGATTCATTAAAAAGGATCGAGATTTTATGGGCTTATGCAGTTATTTATGGACTAAAGATTCATCTGAGGTTTATTGGCCAGCCATCTTTCTATCAAGATGAAGGAGTCAATTGAGCGTCTCAGCTGCAGGATTGAATACCCAAATCGAATCAGAGTTCAAGAATGAACTATAGGCGTAATGTACATGAACTTAGACTCGACACTCTGGTTATTACTGAGTGTATTTTTACACTCAACCCTTAATGTTTTGGAACCGAAATCAAATATTGTACTGTTGCATAATAAGTGCATTCCTACTTCTTTTGCTTCTACACTACTGTATCCTTTGTTTCTATAACGGATCCAAGCATAGGCTAGAAACCCCATTCGTGAAGTGTGAATCGACTTTATGCTCTTTGTTAAACATTGAGTTTTTATTGTAGTTCTCTTCCTCGCTGTCATTTTATCTGTTTGTTTGGTCGCAGACAAGTGCAAGCTTTTTTGTTGTGTGGCTTGTATTTTTGTCTCTTTCAGAGTACTGTTGAATCGTTCATTCAGAAAAACTTCATGTGACTGCTGGTGAAATATGGTTCTCTCTTCTGATTTTCTGAACTTTAAAGTTATGACGACATACTTTAGTTCTTCATGACATTTATTCATCTTTTTCTTTTTCTTTTTCATGGATTGCACAAGGAAATCACACAGAACACTCACATTCCATTGAAGAGAAAATTTTAACAGAGGCTAACAGAAACATAGAACAAATCAGAAAATTAACAAATTAATCTACAAATTTTATATTTTTGCAAAATAAAATCAAATAGACATGAAATTGTAAGAAGTACGCACAATTCAGCATATCATTCTACTTTTGGAAAACTTCGAGATTCCACTCATTATATATATCTATATGACCTTCTGGATCACACACAAATGAACAAAAGGAGGAACAAATTGACTAGCTATATTCGAAATTCAGTAAGACTTGGGTATGAATTCCCTGAATCAAGATTTGAAGAAACCCTTAGGCAGAATTTTTTTTTTTTTCCTGAAATGCTATAAATATACTTTAAATTTATTACTAATTTATGGATAATAAAATCTATCACTATATCCATAAGTTGGTAATATAAGCCTAAATCAAAAAATAAACATCAAACATGAGCAAATTCAACTTCAAATTATCGATCATCAAATGAAATGTGTAAGATTCACTAATGTAGACGAATGAGCAACCAACAAAATATGGATTTTTTTGTATGATTCACTGATTTGCAAAAAAAAGTATATATATAAAAATTAATCAAATTTGAGTTTAGATGAAACATTGTTAATTCTTTAGTCTACTGAATTGCTCATTCTTAATTGAATTCTTGTGGTTGTTGATTGCTTCTTCTTATTTTGATTGACATCCTATTATTAGAGGATTTTGTTTTAGAATTTGTGAGTATATTCAAAACTCAAATAACAAACAGCATTAGTTATATAGGAAATAGAGATACTTCACAATAAAGAATATATACTTCACAATAAAGAATATCGTTTGTCATGATAAAATAAGAATTGAATAATAAAGATAATTAAGAATTCAAGTAGGTTAACAATGGTACGTTTGGGATCCTACTGCCTTATATGATTTGATTAATTTCAAAATTTTGTTTGTTTATTTTTAATTGCTTATCTTAGTAGATAATTAGATATAATTAAAAATCAAATCCAAACGATTGATTATTTTCCATAATCTCATGTAAATGATACTTTATTCGTCACTTTATTACTTGTTTACAATTCGTCAAGATAAAATCGACAACATTGCTCATTAGTGTTAGTGTTTTTCAAACCATCTTAAATTTTATTGTTTAAATGAAGTTAGAGTTAACCAATTTCAATAGTTAACAACATCAATCATCATCAATTGACTAACTCACTTTATTACTTGTTTTACACGTACATTTCATATTTGCACACAACACATATCAAGAATGATAGTAGCGATCCGAGTTTTGCAAATTTCGACGCCGTCCAATAGTCCCATGATCACGGACCACATGGATTAGCCTCCTCTCCACCTGTGCACCTTGCAAAACCATGGGTCAAGGCCAATTTTACCAACGGCAGAGGAGATGAGAGTGGTGGCAGTGGGCTTCGTTGAGAGAGAGACGAGAGAGGGGATGGAAACGAGTTTTCCATTTTTTTTATTTTTGAAAACAATTTTTCAAAATCCCAAAAACAACACATTTTCAACAATCTCAAAATGGACACTCAAAACACAAAACCCAAAATGAATTCAAAACTCAAAATACAAAATTGAAATACAAAGAGATTAGCTCCTTAGTGTTTTGAATCCACAACTTATTATTTAGGGAGGTTTTAGGTCTCTAACCTTCAAGAGTAAAGTTCTAAATTCCCAACTTATTTAATTATGTAAATTTGAACCCCTACGCTATAATACAATCATGCTTGATCTGTCATTGGACAGCTTCAAAAAAGTTGTTTTTTCATCGAATAATATATTGTCAACACATTTTCTAAGGGTGACAAAAAGTGAAGTACAAATGACAATCCGTGAAAAAAACAGCCATTGAGAAAATAGCAGATGACAACTAAGTGACTCAAAAGAATTCACAATTTTACCCTCCAAATTTAGTCGCGTAAAAATAACGTACAATTTGCAGTTTCCTTCACGCGAAAACCCAGATTCACAAATTTAAATAAGTTTAGGTTGGACGCATGGAACCGCAATTTTGAAAGTCAAGGATCCAAAACCACTTTCGACTGAACTACTGGGGGATTCAGCCCTAATTTTTTCATTGAATGGCGTTCGGGAGAAATGGGACAAAAACTTTAAATTCAGAAACCTAAAGGTGGTAAATCATAATAAAGAAACCTGTTACAACTTTCAGTCACTCTTATATAAGATGACCCACATATATGATTCTAAAACTAAGCAACACCGAAGATAGTATTAATTCTGAAAGATCGGTCCATGTCGCACACTAACGTGAAAATTGAATTCTGAAAGAAATGTCGACGATGGCGCACACACACATGCTCGGGGTTTTACAGATGGACCCTGCTATTTGAACACGACCACGTCGCCCCAGTTCCCCAGGCCCTACACCTTTACATATTATCATTTCACTAAAAATGTATATAAATAAATTTCTCACTCCTAAAAAGAACTCATAAATCATAAACTGAGTTTATTAAAGACTCTGGAGTGAAATAATCCATTACTCTGCAAATTGAAAAATATGCTCCATTTAAACAGTTAGTTTTCTATAAAATTACCTGCTGCTATATATAAAAGAAACTTTTCTACTTGTAGATATATTTGAAATACCATGTTGCACTTGTGCCAACCCCTGGTCGGCAAAATGATGGGGCACCCGAAATTTCTTTCAGTTTTAAAGAGGCGTACATGAACTGAACCTGGTATTTCTCAGTAATGACATCAATGGACTAAATTCAAAAGAACAAACAACCTCGTTCATGTATGAGGAGACAACTTCATGTCCATCCTTCTGCAATTTCACACTATGATCTTTTTTTTTTTGTCCAGGCGACTGCCAGTATGTGGTTACGGGAAACAGAAAAAAGCAAGGAGACAGTTGACCTGAGAAAATCAATCAATATAACAATTATAGTGATAGACATTGTACCCTGTCAGGAATATTTCTAGGCATTGGAAGAGCAGTGACATATCTCTGCAGGAAAGGTTTATGAATACTCGACTTGACATCAGAGTTTGATGCTGTCTCAGCACCATCACTTTGCCCCCGGCCATGGAATTTAGCAAAACGATTATACTGTCTTTTGAAGAGGTCTAGAAGGCATTCCACTCTCAGGTCCAATATTGATGCATACTCGTCTAGCCTGCAAAATTAAATATGAATATCAGTACTAGAGCCAATAAAAACAAAACATGATGAACACCATACCGCTCCAACCTGCCCCACTACCAGTTTCCAAAAATAGAAACAGATACAAGCATAAAGGAATAAAGAAAGTAAGAACACAAGAATTCCAAAAAAATACTACCTCCGTCCCGTGAAGATAGACTTGGTTTCCTTTTCGACTGTCACAAATTATAGGCCAGTTTCCTTATTGAAAGTATAGATATTTTTTAGTTTTCTAATATGCCCCTGTTTAATGTACATTGCTATCAACAAATATAAACCAATTCTATTTAAACCATTATTTAATGAACGGGTATATTAGGAAAAATGTAATAAAAATTTATATTTCCAACTATATTACTTATATTTTCTTAATCTGTGTGAAAATAGAAAGAAGCCTATATTTATGGGACGGAGATAGTATCACAATAGTATAGCACAACCAGAGATGCACTAAATCATAAATAGTTTTAAAGATAGAACAGTATTCTGCAACCTTGGATATAAGTCCAAACCAAAGAAGCAAGCATCAAGAACAGGAACCAAGTAAAGAAAACAGCATCTGTTTTAGTTTTTAGCATGTGCTTGTTAAACAGTGCTCAAAATCGCATTCTAGAAATCTGCCTCCCCCCAGCTAAAAGGGCACATTCAATGTTTGATCAAAATTAGGAAAGATGCAAAAAGGAAATTAAAGAATTTGACCATGCACATGAGTATGTACCACAAATGTCTATATATAAACAATATATCCGCGCGTGGAAATGCAAAGAAGATGGGGACAGGTTACATTCTCTTGGCACTTCCGTTTCATTCCAATCTTCATTCTCTTTGCACCTTTCTCCAGTTTCTAAAAACCAAGAAACGTCTACTGTTATAAAGTTTTTCTACCACCTCATATACTATGTGGCCGTCGGGTATTCTGTGGACAAATTCCTCGGGCTAATTTATTTACAATGCATGGACAGGGCTATCTCACACTTCAGACATCTATATCCAGTCCCTTTTGTTATGGAAATAGGGTTACAAAAAACAAAATGCAGGCCAACTGTTCGTAATTACCCAACTGAATGTGCAAGGCTCGACTATTTTATTCTTTACACAATGATTTTATGAATATTTACTTATTTTAATACATTTTTGATAGTGGAATAAATGCAAATAAAAATGACAACTCTATCCCATCCCAGCACAAAGTATGAGACTTCATTTTATTTAAAAAGATTAATTTAATTTTAAGTCTAAAATTGAATTTTTTATCTTTATAACAAGTTCTTTGTAGAAGCACAGATGCAGTTCTGTAATCGTAAGAAAGACTCAAACTGACAAATTATAAACTTACCTACTAAAGTCTGAAATCAGCACCAAACACAATAAAGAAAGGAAAAACAAATTCTACCAAAGTTTAGAAAAGCTAAATAGGATATCGAGTCATTTTGCTTCTGGAGGCAACACATAAGCCTCACTATTAACCAATAGAATAATTCAAAAAAAAATAAAAGATATACTCATAAAAAAACATAACAATCTAAAAGTTCATAATAAAACATTTCAATAAAACTGGAAGTCTTATTTGCACCTAAAAACATAACATGGGGTAGGGCAAGCACGTGTTCTTCTCTTCCTCTCTTCTTTAACCTTCAATTATTTTCTTTACAGCATTTGGGGTTGGACAGTACTTAAAAAACCCCATACCACCACTCAATTATCGCTAAGCACCATGGTTCACGAGTAAAAATCACTTCCAACTTCAAATATTAGTTTATAAATGAATAATTATCATCAAAGTGAATAGAGTATGGGTCCATATTTGCAAGAAATTTGAAAAACAAGATAATTTACCTCGAGAACTCGTTTTCTAGCTTCATTGCTCTTCCCATAAACTCTTCCATAGCATTTCCAAAACAACGGCCACCAATTCCCTCAGTTTGTTTGCCCTTAGCAGCAAGTCTACAATATATTTTGTAGAGAGCTAGTTATTCAGACTAAAAAGTAATTCAAATAATAACTACCAAAAGATCAAAGCAATAAATTGACTGAACGACTTCAAGCAATATCTGACTGTCTTACACGTCTTCTCCATCACAAGGCATATCTGAATCACTTGAGTGAGAAACTGCGCTGCAAGCTTCTCCCAATGCTATCCTGGAGACAGAGTAAGTCACACTCTCATAATCTGAGCTAGTATCAGCACAGAGAATTGCTGCTTGTGGAGGGCAAATCAATTGCTGCATAAGTTGTGTCGTCAAGATAAGCCTTCTCTTTGATCTAAGCACTTGCAGTCCATCTTCAATCAAGTCAACATCTTCCACCTGCGATCAGAAAAGAAGAAAGAGGATGTGGAGCGACCATGTGAGTAAATCAAGTACATGAAGAAAATAGGAGCATAGTTAGCAACATCATCAGACCTTATCAGTTAGACGATTTGCTGCTTTACACCAATTGACTTCTGCCATCCTGCAAGTAGTAAAATGCATGTAGATTAACAAATAAATATTAGCAGTATAAAGGAGAACATTGAAATTCATTACATCAAACATATGTAATTAAATCAAATAACTGTTCCTATCTAGCCCTCGTTTGGTAGAGATTAAAATCATATTTTTAGTATATTTTGATAAAAGTTGATGAAATGTGTGGTTGAAAAGTCATGGATCCCATGAAATGTGTGGTTAAAATTAATTGTTGATTTTGACTTGAGATTTTAACTGGATTTTAATCCAAACCAAACAGGGGCATAATATAAACGAGGGTCTGTAAAGAAAGGAAAAAAAATTGAAAAGTTGCTATTCGTGATAACCACCTGAGAGTTTGAAGATTTTGTGAACCCTGTGATATTTCCTTGTACCAAGGATGATGTTCAGAAGTAGCATCCTTGCGCTTCTTGGATTCTGACTCAGGAGAAGAAAAATGTTCAGTTGCTACTGACAAAGGAATAGAACTTTGTTGGGCGCCACCAATTAGATTTGTGCCGTCCATAGAATTATGTGTGTGCAAACTACTGGAAGATTTCCCAAGAGTAAAAGGTGGTTCGGCTGTTCTTAAAGTGGTGACCATGCTTGCATCATACATCGGCAAAACTCTTCCATTTTTAAAAGTTACATACTGATCTAACCAAGATGGTGCAATCTGAGAACCACAAGAAATTCTAGGAGAAGTATCCTTACCAAATGCAAGAACGTCCTGAGAGGCATCAGCTGACCTGGAGAATGTTTGCATTCTAGAATCCCCAGATGAGACAGCAGCATAAGAACCTATCGTCTCTCCATTAATAGCACTGTGTTCATTTACCTGCCCTCCCTCTGAAGCTACTTGATGAACACCTGGACCATTATCTGGTCCTCTCATTCTCTTTGAGACCCTAATGTTTGGATCAACCTCTGCATCCTTGATGGCCTGCACTTGATTTAGTAAGGAGTAATTTTCATGAGAGAAGCTATTCGGTTTCAAAGATCGACCAAATGCTTCAATATCCTTTTGTGTTGAAGAAGAATTAGCATGAGAATCATCCAAGGGATACTTGACAGAAGATACTTTTCCAAGTGCATCATTCGTCTGTTGAACTATGTCAGTGTTTACAGATGTTACTTGCAATTCAGTGCTTTCCTTCAAGCTCTGCCCTTCCCCACTAACAACTGCAGAATTCATAGGAATTCCACTGAATTTGGATGAGCGATTCTCACCTTTCCACACATAAGGATCGCCTTCAGTATGGGGTACAGAGGAACTTGATTCCACAATATTTGGTTGGGTTGACTCTGAAAAATGTGCCGACACCTTGTGAAACTGAGGACCTTTAGCTTGTTGGTGTGTAGGAACATTGGTCCACATAAACATCCTTGCAGATGCATCATGTTGAGAAATGGCAGGCACAGCTGACGGCTGAGAAGAAGGTGCATGATCCCTAGCTGACATTGTATCAGTTGAACCTCTTGCCTGTGGATCATTAGTGCTGTTTTGCCGAGATGTTCCCCCCGAAGACACATGATTACCATGTGGAGTACTGCAAGATGCATCGAGCAAAAAAGTTTCCTTAGATCCTTTCTGGGTGGAGTTGGAGGCACTTCTATCAAAAGACGAGTTAATATTCTGATTTACTGGCATTTGTCTTGCCCCAGTCATCTGTTGATGAAGATGACTTGCTGAGTAGCCAGAGCCAGAATTTAATGTTGAAGAAAAATTTCCACGAATCTTATACAGAGGGGTTCCACTTTCAGATTGTCCTGGAATTCCATATTTTTCATTTTTTATCTGAGTCTTGGATTGTTCATTAGAAAAAGACACTGATTGAATTGAAGATGTTGTAACTATGTGTGGGCCATTCTCTCCATCTTCGGCAGCAGCATGACTTAAATGTGGAGAATCACTTGTATGTTGGACAGTCTGAGAAGAAGGTGAATGTTCTGAAACTTGCATCCGTAGAGATGGAGGACCAAGTTGCAATCTGAAACCTTGAGAGGCAGCAGAATGATTGCAGTGGAGGCGGTCAACAGAACCATCATGATTTTCTGTTTCAGGTAGCTTAGATGATGCATTCAGTTCAGAAGAATTGAAGTGCATCATGGAACCATGATCAACTGGTTGATCCACCTTGTGAAGAAGCTCCAGCATGTTTTGACTAGATTGAATACAAAAAATTAAATGGGTAGTACTTAGTAGTACGTAAAATACTAAAGGAATTACACATGAACAGTGAATTACCTTGATGAAGTCTTGTTTGGTGTGTATGCATCAACAGATTTGTTGAAAGGAACAGAAATATTAGGTGTATAACCAGGAATGCTGCCCCGGGATTGCCCCTCGTTAAGGCCCTTATTGTCTCTTTGAAGATCAGAAGATTGCCGCTGTAAATAAGAATAAATATTCAAACCTTCTAATGTGTTAAAGTTAAATATATACATACATATTATATCAATTCATAAAAAATGTTGAACACCATAGATTTCTTTGAGACCTGATCAAAAAAATTTGACAGGCCAAGATGCACATTTTGCTGGGACATGGCCAGGGCATGGGTAGGCTGCTTCATTTCATGAGCAGATTCCACATCCTCGTCCAAGTTTCCCATGGGATGATACTGAAACTTACGAGGACCAGAAGCTTTCCTCCCAAGTTGATTAGTTGTCTTTTGCTTGCCAGTGGGCAGAGGTTGTGAATCACTAGCATCAGACAACCGACGGTCCCTCAAACCACTAGGAATGTGCTGTAATAAGTTTGGCCGACTTTCATTAGAATCCTCTCTGTCACAACCACGCGCTGAGTCCAAAACCTGATTATCTTCATTTGTGCTGTGCAGCATGCTCCCTAGGGCTTCACCTCTTTGGGATTTAACCAAAGGATCGGTATTCTTCCATTGATTAAGTGAATAACTATTCTGAACAAATTGACTGTTTTCTGCATCAACCCCTGTGGCACTTGAGTTAGGCATGGAAGCAGCATCACTCAAACTCAAGCCCCCTACATTTCCCTTGGAATGTTTTGAAGGACCCAAGGCTTTCCAATTGGTTGGTTGTTTTCTTCCACTATTCTCGGAATTCCAAAGTGTAGAGGTGCTTGTTGAATTTTTCTCTGCATCAAGAGAATGTTGTGAGACATTTTTAAATAGCTGACTCCCTTCAGCAACTGATCTTTGCAGTGGACCGCAATTTGACCACTGGTTTGCTTCCTCCAAAGGCTGGACAAGTCTTTGAGACGTCTCAGACTGCAATATTTGACCAGGTTTACCTTGAAACTTGTGTCCAAATTGATCAAATCCCACAGCATTCCGATATTTATTGTTCATATGGCTGTCATCAGAAAGGGGAGCAGAACCAGGATGGAATGCTGAAGGCATCCGCATAGTGTCATCAGGCAAAGAGTCATCTTGTTTACCACTGTCATTGTACGCTGAAAAGTGCTGATTTGATGGAGGGACTTCAGTACTGTTTACCAGACCACTCCACTGCTCTTGTGGCCCTATATCACTGCTCGAAGTTTCTGCAACAGCTGATTGCATGAGAGCACTCCAACTACCACTTTGAATAGAAGGTAACCCATTTGGCAACCCACCATTGTCAAACAAGCTACCTGCGTCTCCACTAATATCAGGACTTTTGCCAAAGGCAGCCCATATATTATCATCTGAACCAAACAATATCTTTTCTTCAGTAGGATCTAGGGCAACTTCTTTCTGACTCGAAGAGTATTGCCTCGTTGGTTTTTCATGTGAAAGCCCCTGTGAAATAGATAGATTCTGCCTCCCTCTTAAGTCCTGCTGAGGTGCATTTCTTTGAATGAGATTCACTGGCTGGATGCTCTCCATATTTATCCCAGTATTAACAGCTTGACTAGAAACACGTCCAAGTATATTTTCATTCTGAAATCTGTGTCTAGATATTGAGGTCCCTTCTTGCATGCTAACATGATCTGCTAGTTGATTACCTGGAAGGGAATTATTAAAGGTTGACGTCTGCAGCATTGATGGTTTATCCATGGCCATCTGAGAATACTGGTTCACAGTCAAACCCCTTGAACCAGAAACAGGAACTCCATAAAGAGAGTGATCAGCTAATTGAGGGACTAGATCCCCTGAATGTTGTGCCTGGCCAAGGTTTAGTGGAGAAATGTTGAGGGACTCTTGCATGGTGGGAGAACCATGATGCAGCCAATTGGCATTACCAAGATCAGCCACCAAAGGGTGATGAAATGTGTCAGAACTTGGAGCACCATTGATCTGAGGGGAGGACTGGTGGCCAGATGCCTGCTTAGCAAAAGGGAAATTCTGATTTAATAAATTTTGTTGCCTTGAATCTTGTTGGCGAAGTTGCTGCTGCATTTGGAGCTCTTGCATTTTCCTTAACATGACTTGTTGTTGTAGTTGCTGCATGTCATTGAACCCAGACTGTTGACGCTGCAAAGATTGCAGCATGCTTGGGTGGTGATGGCTCATCTGCTGCTGATCACCAAAAAGATCAAAACTAACGGGAGATATAGATGCTTCTGGTCTAACTGAAGCTTTTGACTGATGGTCAAGGCCACTCCTTTGCTCCAATTCACGAATAGATAAGCCTCTTGCATTTATAAGATTCTGCCGATTAGAATCTGTATCCATTGCCAGAAAGTTTGCTTCACTCTGCCTTGTATGTTGAAACTGACTGTTGTACATAGAGCCATTCAAATCTAATCGTTCACTTTTGGGCTGACTTTTACTAAAATCAGTCCTCAGAGTTGATTGACTGAAGTTCAAGCTCTGTGATGCATGAAGAGGATAATTGCTCGATCCTCTATCTCTGTCTGTTCATAAAAACAAGAGAAAAAAAATATATGAAATAAAGTCCTTTTTTCCTGAATATCATTCGTGCTGTCTGCCTTCAGAAGACATCACAAAGAACTTACATTTTAACTTTCAGTAGAGAGAAAATGGTAAACAAAGGATTAAACTTTTGATTTCAAGCAGCCAGTTATAAATACCTGAGTTTTGTAGATTATAATTTTGTGTGTTAGAATTCACTACATCAATTTGCCCCTCTCTTCCTTCCCAGTTCACCTCTGGCCAATTCCCTTCCACAACCTGCGAACAGTGCTGCTCCTGTGACAAATTGTTTTGAGCAAAGAAATTGTGAACCTTGTCACCAAGTTCGTTTCCAGGCATAGATTCACACCCAAACTTTTCAGCTTTTACACATTGATATGCTTAAATTGATAAATAAAGATATCACTAGTTAAGTTTTATTATACTTTTTTGGCTAGTATCCACCTCAACAACATCAAAATTAAAGTCATATACGAAAAACAAACATGAATATAATCTCATCCAATTTCTCTTGAATATTGTCAATCCTCTGCCAGCTGCTTAACCTTATTAAGTCCGGTCTGTCCTGAAAGAATGGCCGAGTGCAGTTAACAAATACTAATCACGTTCAAATAATGATGCCAAAGCAATCAAATGAAAGTTAATATAAACACTAACAATACAGTGACCAATGTGGGTAGCAAATAATATAACAGTACAGTGGCCATCATTGTAAAACAAAGGTATAACCACAATTATGTTCAGAATACTATGAGCAGGCAACTATAACAATACACTCCACGTGCGCTGAGCTCTAAATCAGCTAAGTTGCCTCTCTTATTATGGAGGAAAAGTCCTATAAAACGGCCTAAGAAGAGGTTTGAAAAAAAAAGGGAAAATCATATACAAGTCCCAATCTTCCAATTTTCTTAATCTTAAGTGTTATAAAAGAAAGTTCCACGCACTTAAGTATGAGGGTCTTTTGTGTTAAACTTATTTATGCTAATTATTCACGTTAAGCAATTAATAATCTCCCATTTACCATTGACTATGTTTTAGAGTTCAATTTTTCTCCTCACTGTAATCTAATTTTTACTAAGTAAAATCCATCTATAAGCCAAAAGAATTGGAGTCTTATTCAAAAATGTCAATGTCAACGGGAGTATTGGGTTCACCATTTCAAAAATACCAAATCTTACTTTTCAAACCACTCTTTGAAAACACCTAAATACAAAAAATGGAAACAAATATTTGACCTTGCTACCAAACAAGCCCTGAACATCTTTATAATGCAACTGAATATGTAAGATCTAAGACACGTATTTTCTTATGCTCCTGTTCAGTTTCACTTTTGAGGGCAATTGTCGAATAATAATACTTTTGACCATAGTTACGATCACCAAATGGGCAGTGCAGAAATGGGGAGAAAAGTGGAAAGGAATTTGCACCACGAAGGGCAAGGTACGGATGTTTAAGGAAGCTGGGATGGGAAGAGGGTTTTGAGGCAGCTATGGGTTGCAAGCGCCAATGAGAAAGAAGAGTGGCTACTGGGTTCTGGCAGAGTTTGGATTGTGGGAATAGCTTTCGGGTCTTTTATTGGAGCTATGGCTGTGGAAGAAAGTGGAACAAGGGAGTGTTGGCATCAGTGGTTGGGGTGCTGGAGCTATAGCCATTGTAGCAGCGGTAGATTGGGTGGGGCCGCTAGAACATGCGACCTAGAGATAGGGAAAAAAGACAGATCATACGAAGCAGTTTTCTCTTTTCCATTTTTTGTTATTTCTTGTTTTCTTATTTATTTAAAGTAAAGGGAAATTTATCATTTCAAGGCACACTAACTGGATGGAAACTATTAGTACAGACAAGCGCCGCTAATTAATGAAATGTAGAGATTCAAATTATTATGAAAAAAAGGTTGGGAAAGAGATTCCTATGACTATGAGGGTCAAATGTTGGGAACGGAGACTATAATTTACACAAAATTAAATATGATAGGTCAAGACTTCATATTTTTTTCCATGGTAGTATCTCTACATCTCTCCAAAATCTCTCCCATCTCCACAATCTCCCTTTTCCTCAGCTCTCTCTCCTAAGTCTTTTTTTTTTTTCTTTTTTATGATTGCCGATGTCCAGGCCAGCTTGCGTGCACCTCGACTAATCCCACGAGACCCTGAAATTTATGGCCGGATACTCACCTCAGTGGCCCTGAGGGGACTCGAACTGGTGATCACTGGGGAACAAACTCAAGGTCTGACCAATTGAGCAACCCTCAAGGTTAACCTCAGATTGTCAACTCCTAAGTCTTATATCCCTACCTAACCATAAAGCTTCTTAATTGTTGGTCTATTAACCTCAGATTGTCAACAAGAACAAATTATAAAGAGATTCCATTTTTGTCCATTTCTCAGCATGTCGCCTTCATTGTGGAAGATTCACCATTAGCCTGATTATATTTTGGTTCTTTCCATTTTAAATGGCCATTTCTGCAATCTAATAAATATTCCATTTTTAATTTTCCCTGGTTTTAAGCTTGCCCTAACATGAGGCTTGTCGTGTTTTCTACATGCCAAAATGAGAAAAGACATGCCACGTGGCTGACATGTCTAACGAGTGTCACATGCATGCCAGAGACCAACACTTATTCCTTGGCATGACCATGCTTCATAGAATGACGTATAAGATGTTATAGTACGCTTTTCCACATAGTCACTCTTATATCTCCATTTTATGCTTTCAGAAGGCATAAGAATATCTCCATCAACGTGCTTCCAAGTGATAACAGATCAAGCGATTGAGAGGCAGGTTCCTGTTTCTTGAATTATCTAACATAAAAGTTTCCCATACTAATAAAATCTGCAATTTTATTGGGTGATTTGACGCAGGAACCATCAGAAATGGAATCAAAGAAAAATTGCGGCATTGTTTACTCGTATACTAGCCATGCATTTCCTGATCCCACAGCAAGTTCCAGCAAAAAATTAACCCTTCTGAGCAGATCTTGAGTATGTGATAAAATATTTGTCATTAGTAATTCCCTTACTTGTCCACTGAACAAGGTCACTATCCTCATGGTTCACCAATAAGTAGTTAAGAAATCAAGAAAATAAGGAAGCTAAGGAGGCTCAATCTAAGTGAAATCCAAAATAACAGTAATTAAAATTCCAAAAAATAAAGATGAATAATTAAGAAAAGAAGACGTGCAAATGAGACAAAATCACACTGAACTAGGCCATTGCGTTAGTTTATCAGAAATTCATAGACGAAAAAGCCCAAACCTAACACAATGCCTGCACGTCTTACTGAATTCAAGCCACTAAGATCAGCTGGATAAATGCGAACACAAATTCTCTCACATTACACGCATATGCGCATACAAATTCGTTCCCAGACCTAACCTGGCATAAATTATAACAAAACCCCTATAAATAGTAATATTATAAAACCCAGTATATTCCATTCAAAAGCGCCATTTGCTCCACAAATTTCTAAAGATTAAGAATCAAAAAAAGATAAAAAAAGTGCGTCCCATCGAAATTCATAAATCATAGACCAAGGCATCAAGATAAGCTTAATATAGACCTTGCCCACACCTCAAATCCCAAAACATTAGCCAATTCATGAATTCTTAAAACATAAAATACATGCAACAAACCAACGCGTATATATGTACGGGGAAAGCACGTTAGGGTTTGCGATGAAAGAAATCACGAGACTTACATGGATATTGAGGAGTGGATGAAGAGAAAAATGGAGCTAAGAATCGTTTTGGGGAATTTCACTCTAGGGTTTTGAATCGGCGAAAATATAACGGGGGAACTACTTTAGAGAGAGAAAGGGAGGAGTGAGAGAGCGACAATTGATATGAGAAAGATGTGCGAATTTTTCAACGAACTGTCCCAGATGAGGTTCGGTTCGGTTCGAGGCTGAGGCTGAGGCTGAGAGAGGTGCATTGGTTGGGGCAGACTCTTAATGAACCAGTTATCTTCCAATTAGATTCCGCCGTATGGAATATGAAATAGGTAGGGTTTTTTGAAATTATTTAAATGGCGATTATATTGCCACTACAATTTTTAATTAATATACCATATTTTAGTTGTAGTTAAGCTATTCAATTTTTAACCATTATAACAATTATTTTTTTTCTTTTTTTGTCGAATTCTTATTTTCAACGTTCTATTAACTTGCACGTCTCATCGTTTATATTAAAATATTTTATTTTCATATTTTTGAATAAGGGAAAAATTGCATTGAGACTAAACAATTAACGTTTTAACATTAGAAATATTAGAGGTCAATGTCTCGTAAAAGAAGTAGAGTCGAAGAGTCACAACTTGATATCAGAACAAATTCTTTGGTTCTAGAGACTTTAAACAAGAATACTAGAGTTCAAAAGAAATGAATCGAGTCTTTTAAACACGATTGCCTATTGCACTGTTCTCCATTTAATGATCAATAATTTATCAATCTCAAGCTATGCAGCGACTTATCTTCCACCAATAATCGAGATAAGTGTTAGAGATGAGACAATAATGGTTAATAACGATGATAGCTACTTGCGTATATTTTATTCTCTTTTAAACATTTATGAAATGCATTTACTTTGAGAAAAGATTAGAAATAGGGTCAGGTAGACTTCAAGACGGTAGAAAAATAAGAGAGTAGTGTATCATAAGGAATCTAACAAGATTTGCACAAATGAATCATTAAACGAGATGAAAAGAGTTGCTATATTCCTTTTGTTATTTATTATAAATAAAAGAGATGATTCACATTACAACTTCAAAATTAATTTAAGTGTGTAATTGAATTCTTACGGAGATAATATATATATATATATGATGGATAAGCTTGGCACGAGAACTTAAAACGAGTTTAGGAAGAGGTGTGTCGGAGATCGTAATGTTATTGAACTTCTATGAGATGAACTCGCATAACTGTTCGTTGTGAAAGTGCAAATCGTAAGTGTACGAATCGCATTCAAATAATAAAGTAGGATTTTGGAGTTCGAGTTGTCGATTTCTCGAGAAATGCTTACTTTCGATTATACAATTTTAATCAATTTAATTCTAACGATGAAAATACATACACAAAATAAAGATTTTGATTTTGAAAAATAACTAAAATTTACAAAATGGGAAAACATACACACTTGAGAATTTTGAAGAAAAAAGTGATTGAAACTCATGATTTCGCTTAATCGTTGCATAATTAATTTTTCCACAAGCCAATTAACAAATCACTTATTTATGATTTTAGACCGATTTTTCAATTTTAGTTAAGTACTTCTTTCAAGTGAAATTAACCCTAATTAATTGGTTTAACATATTATATCTCTATATTGATTCAAACCAAACAATCGTATT